AGTACTTGCTAAGTATTCCTGCAGCTCCTTTAATGTTACTGTAGGCCTCTTTGCAGCCTCCCAGACCAGTTTTCTTCTCGTCTTTTCATCAATTTTGGAGGGACGTCCAGCTCTTGGTAATGTCACTGTTGCGGCATATTTTCTCCACTTGATGACTGTCTTCACTGTGTTCTATGGTATTCTAATGCCTTGGAAATTCTTTTGTACCCTTCTCCTGACTGATGCCTTTTAACAATGAGATCCCTCTGATGCTTTGGAAGCTCTCTGCAGATCATGGCTTTTGCTGTAGGATGCAACTAAGAAAACGTCAGGAAAGACCTACTAGAACAGCTGAACTTTATTTGGGGTTAATCAGAGGCATTTTAAATGGCCCAGGCCAATTTCCAGCTTTCAGCGCTGTCGCAATTTGAATGGCAATTGCGCGGTCATGCAACACTGTACTCATGAAATTTATATTTTTTTTTAGACAGGTAGAACTTTCTTTTGGTGGTATTTAATCACCTCCTGGGTTTTTTTCATTTTTTGCTAAACAAACCAAAAACTGAAATTAAAAAAAAAAAAAAAAAGTTTCTTTGTTTCGGTTATAAAAGTTTGTAAATGGGTAATTTTTTTCTCCTGATGTGCGCTAATGAGGCTGCAGTGATGGGCACTGATAGAGGCACTGATGGGCATTGACAGACATCACTGAAGGGCACTGAAAGGCAGTACTCCTGTATGGCACTGATAGGCGGCACTAATAGGGGGCACTGATTGGCAGCACTTATAGGCGGTACTGAAAGGCAACTCAGATGGGCACTGATATGTGGCATTGATGGGCACTGGTGGGCACTGATATGTGACAGTGATGGGCACTGACAGGTGGCACTGATGGGACTACACTGATAATCAGTGCCCTGATGATCAGTGTAGATGTCCCCTCTGAGGAATGCCAATTACCGGCTCTCCTCTCCTCACGAGCCGTTAGCGTGACAGCTCGTGAGGAGAGGAATGCCTATAACTCATTTCCTTATTCACATGCGATCAGCTGTGATTGGACACAGCTGATCACATGACAGAGCCGCAGTCATCGGCTCTTTCCGCTGTGTCCCAGAGACACAGCGCACCACCGATTGCTGCGTGCCCCTGGGGGCGCGCATGAGAAGTTAGAGTGGGAGGACGTCCTCCCAGAACGAGAGAACCACGCCCGTCCGTCATTTCCTTATATGGAGGACGGAAGGCGGTTAAAGTAGTCTATACATATGCAGTACATAAAAGATGTGGGACCTTAGAGTGTGGTGGACCTTGTACTCAACCTCAAAGTGTAAAGGTGGGTGTCACCAGTATGCATACACTCACCGGCCACTTTATTAGGTACACCTTGCTAGTACCAGGTTGTACCCCCTTTTGCCTTCCGAATTGCCTTAATTTTTTGTGGCATAGATTCAACAAGGTGCTTGAAACATTCCTCAGAGATTTTGGTCCATAGTGACATGATAGCCTCAAGTTGTTGCAGATTTGTCGGCTGCACATTTGTGACATGAATCTCCGTTCCACCACATCCCAGAGGTGCTTGATTGGATTGAGATCTGGTGACTGGGGGCCATTGGGAGTACAGTGAACTCTTTGTCATGTTCAAGAAACCAGTTGGAGGTGATTTGAGCTTTGAGACATGGTACATTCTAATGCTGGAAGTAGCCATCAGAAGATGGATACGCTTTAGTCATAAAGGGATGGACATGGTCAGCAACAATACCCAGGTAGGCGTGGTGTTTAATCTATGCCCAATTGGTACTAAGGGGCCCAAAGTGTGCCAAGAAAATATCCCCCACACCACCACCAACCTGAACCGTTGATACGAGGCAGAATGGATGCATGCATTCATGATACACGCCAAATTCTGACCCTACCATCTGAATGTAGCAGCTGAAATTGATACTCATCAGACCGGTCAACGTTTTTCCAATCTTCTTTTGTCCAATTTTGGTGAGCCTGTGCGAATTGTAGCCTATGTTTCCTGTTCTTGGCTGACAGGAGTGGCACCCGATTGTGGTCTTCTGCTGCTTTAGCCCATCTGCTTCAAGGTTCGACATGGCTTGCGATCAGAGATGGCAGTCTGTATACCTTGGTTGTGATGAGTGGTTATTTGAGTTACTGTTGCCTATCATCTCAAACCAGTATGCCCATTCTCCTCTGACATCAATAAGGCATTTTTGTCCACACAACTTCCGCTCACTAAATATTTTCCCCTTTTTCAGACCATTCTCTGTAAACCCTAGAGATGCTTGTGCATGAAAATCACAGCAGATCAGCAGTTTTTTAAATACTCAGACCAACCTGTCTGGCACCAACAACCATGCAACGTTCAAAGTCACCTAAATTCCCTTTCTTCCTTATTGTGATGCTCAGTTTGAACTTCAGCAAGTCATTTTCACCAGATCTAGATGCATAAATGCATTACGTTGCTGTCATGTAATTGACTGATTAGCAATTTGTGCTATCAAGCAATTGACCAGATGTACCTGATAAAGTGGCTGGTGGGCGTGACCGGGATGGATACCTAGTTAAGGAGCGCTGCTGCAGAGGGGAAATCATCCTGTTACACTATCCTGTCTGTATCCTACCCTAGTTGAGGACCCTTCAGACAACCTTCTGCCGAAGATGACGCAGGGCCGACCGCAATCCGAGGCCTGCCGCCACAGGGCTACGCAACTTGGCTCTGGTGGGGCGGGCATCCGCATGGCAGAGGCAGCCAACATGGCGACGCAGACAGAAGACCTAGACCCAGCTCTCACAGAGCAGGCCAACTTCTCAGCCCTGATGCAAGCTATAACGGACTGCCAAACTACCCTCACCACTAAGATTGATTCCCTTCAGTTGGAAGTGGACCTTATCAGGAGAGACTTTGACAAGATCCATCATTGTATAACAGAGGCCACACACGCCCATTGGGGGACACATAGAAGTCTCGGTGAGGGAGCATTCCGCTCTCCTGCACACCCTTCAGGTGAAGGTGAACACCTCGAGTCTCAGGCAGAAGACGCAGGGAACCGCAACTGGCGTTAACAACCTCTGGACACTGGGTCTGCCTGAGGGGATGGAGGGCCCTGACCCAACAGCCTTCACTGAGCGTGTCCTGCATACTATTTACCCAGGTGGTCTTTTCATCCTTCTTTGCAGTGGAGCGAGCACATAGGATGCCTCTGTCCCGCACATTCATCTTTACGCTATTGAATTTTCGTGATCATGGCCTTGTCCTCCGGGAGGCCCGGAAGACTGATGCGGTTTGCTATGAAGCCACGCGACTGTTCTTCCCGGATTTCTCCATGGATTTCAACATGGATACTCAGAAGCTCCGTAAATCCTTTGACCAAGTGAAGCAGTCTCTTCGGGCCAGGAACATCAAATATAGTATGCGGTTTCCAGCTAGTCTCTGAGTGGAAGATGGGACAGCGTTTCGCTTCTTCACATCACCTGAAGATGCCCTGCAATGGATCAATACCCTGCCTCGTCAGTGACTCTGGGCTGTTGATGGTCTTTACTACCTAATGTGAGTAGGTTATCAACATCGCTGCCTCTGACACTAGAGCAGGCCTCAACTTGTGCTGTTTTTGTTTGTCCTGCAGACCAAGGTTTGGTCCTAGCGTGATTTTCTTTTTTTTTTTTTTTTTTTTTTTTTTTTTTACCCCCCCTTTTGTTTGGCATATTGCGTTGGTGGTCCCTCCTGACCTATCTCTTTTTGTTTTGGGTCCCTGTGCCCTAGCTGCTGTTTTTCTCCTAAGGACACCACCCGTCTCTGGAGGACCTCCTTTGGGGCAGCCCCTCTACCCAGTTATGTGACCATGTTGTATTCAACTGTCTGTGGGGAGTCCTCCCCTTGTCTGCTAGATTTGCTGATGCCTGTCCTAGAAGGAAACTATGCCTCATGTCTTGTCTCCTTTGGGACTACACTGTTGATACAGCCTTCCTGCGGTTCCGCTGGACTTGTTATGCTGTTTTTTGTCCCTACTGGGCAGAAGTAACTCAAGATGGTACCCCCAGTCTTGGCTGGGTGATGACTCTTAGCCCTGCCCATTGGCGGCATCTTCTTTATTGACTTGGTATAGCCGTGCCTAACCTGAACCACTGGACTATTCACTGTTCACGACCCCAACTAGTTGTTGACCACAGTTGGTTTAGGGATTCAAGCACACCTTAGTTGGATCTGTTGCGAAGGGTTGGAGGGAGGGGGGGGGGGGTGTATGTTTTTTTTTTTTTTCTGTGTATCGAAAGTATCTTCCTACAAGAATCCTATTGGTTACATTCAGATTTGATTACAATTTTTAAAACCTTTGCATCTATTTTGCTCTTTTTTTTTTTAGAAATTTGCCTGTAATGCATCATTGTTTCGAGAACATTACCCTTTATGTTATGTACTGTGTAGTAAATGTGTTTCTTTATAGCTGTTATATTCTCTTTTATTCCGAATCCGTGCTAGCTAAAACCACATCCATTAAAGTGGAAGTTTAGCCTACAGTTAGCTGGCACATAATCACCCACATAGTACATTTAGCCTCAAATATCTATTGCGCCCTGTTTCTTTTCTGTCAATACCCTGGTTTTTTAATCTGTCTTCAAAGCTGCTGGTTATCAGCGACACCAAGCTACGCATGGGGTCTCTCAGCCCCCTTCACGCTCTCCATGTCCTGTGCTTCACAGGATAAGGGCAAAGTGGAACGTGTGTTTTACAAAGTTTCTCAGTCAGGCTTTGCAAAGGAGATCTGTTGCTAGTGATGGGTATTCCTTCCTGGTACAGATGTCAATCATCCACCAACTTTGTGGGTAAAATGGAAAACCTGACCATGTACTGTACTACAGAATGCTTTAAAAGAAAAGTTCAGAGTTCTGTATATGAAATGCTTGGGTATGTTGTGTGTTTTTTTGGTTTTGTTTAACTTATCTGCATATATGGGCACTTGTCATTTCTAATGATGGTATTTTCACTTTTAATGCACAATTGAACGGTATTGTTTTGATTTATTCAGGACCAAACCATATGCCTATGCAAGGACCAGGACCAAACCAACACAATATGTCAAATAGTTCAATGCCTATGCCTTCAAATAATCATGGTTCCATGGGAGGATATAACCATTCTGTGCCATCTTCACAAAACATGCCAGTCCAGAATCAGATCAGCATGTCTCAAGGCCAGTCAATGGGAAACTATGGTCCAAGACCAAGCATGAATATGCAGCCAAATCAAGGTAATAACACTCTATTAGAGTTGGGCTTTTGGGAGTTGCAATAAAAGCCACAAAGTAAACTACAATCGGTGAAAACACAGTAGCTGAATTACTAAAGTATATTGATAAAAACAATTGAATATTTATATCTTAAAATGGCTGGCTATACTGCTTTTACCAAATAAAGAAAATATATTAAGTGAACATGTGGCTAGACTATGCTTGCAAATGTATTTACATATTCTGAAATGGTAAAATCACTTTGAAACACTCAGTGTCCGTTGAATATTTAGCTGGTATGAAGAAATTTTAAAGCACAGAAATGTCAGCTATTTTCCTATTGCTAGTCGGCGAGTTCTCCAATGTAAACAAATGGCACATGCTTCTAAGCCAGCGGTTGTACACTTACGGGGTTTATGGGGCCTTAACTATGGCCCCCTAACATCACCAAGCTTAAAGCGGAGCTCCAGTCCCCATAATCAATTTTTTTTTTTTTTTTTTTTTTATTTCCCTTGTGATTGTTATTACTTGTACATTTAAATTAAAATACTGTTAGAACAATATTTGTGCTGGTTAGCTTAAAATCTTTAAAAATGTACCTGATCTCAGATGCAGGTAGGTGGCCATTTAGAATGTGGGCATCTGAAGCCCACTTGTCTTTTTCCAGGATTCAGTGCAGCTGGCTACCCAGCATGCACCTCCCAATATCGAGCCTGCGCAGTAATGACACTGCGTAGTGTATTGTGTTTAGTGCAGGCTGCCGTAGCAATGGCGGTGGCGTGGAAGTACCCACCCTGTTGCTATGGCAACCTGTCAATCACATTACATTATTAGGCTTCCCAAAGACTCCTTGGATAGATGACGCCGATTTCCCAGGAATCAATGGGAATCGCCTAATGACGTCATAGCCTAGGCGGCTGGGACAGGAAGTGCCGCCCGAAGAATTAAATTAAAGGTATTTACAAACAAACAAAATTATTTCCATTTTGCACTGTACATTGGAGGGACATTTGAAATATTTGAAGGTCAAAAAAAGGCTGGAACTCCGCTTTAATGTTTAGTACACGCTAAGGAAAATTATGGTTAGAGTGTGGGCCTACAACTGATGTTTTTTGAGTGAATTACTTTACAGTACAAGTAGCTATAGAGGTAAGGGATGGCTTGTTTAAAGATTTTACTAATTGAGAATATGTAAATAATGTCTATAGTCTGGGCACAGGTGCACTTGCACCCCAAGTATAACTTAAAAGGTTGGCTCAGCAGAACTACAAATCTTTTGTTGACTGAATTTCTATTTAAGAAATGTAAGTACGTATGTTTGCAGTTGTTTGACAAGAGTACCTCTTTAACATGAACCTTTCCTGAGTGAAGCATGGGGCTGGTATGGTTGACTTCTACCAAAATGATAGTTGCCTGGCTACTATGCCGACTCGCTGACTTTAATAAATTCTGAATCCATGACCCAGGACAAGTATACATCCCTTGTAAAGTCAGTGTAAAATCTGAATTCCTTATCTACATGCTTGTTCTGGGGCTTTGACTCTAGTTTTGAAGCCAGATGGTTTAGCATTACATCTAGGAAACTAGCATTGTGGAATGACAATGGCTGCTTATGTTTTCTCTCACAAAAAGTTTCCAATAAAAGGAAGGTTTGGTTTTATTTGATGGTAAACTACAGGTGAAACTCGAAAAATTAGAATATCATGCAAAAGTTCATTTATTTCAGTAATGCAACTTAAAAGGTGAAACTAATATATGAGACTCATTACATGCAAAGCAAGATAGTTCAAGCCGTGATCTGTCATAATTGTGATGATTTTGGCTTACAGCTCATGAAAACCCCAAATCCACAGTCTTAGAATATTAGAATGTTGTGAAAAGGTGCAATATTCTAAGCTCAAAGTGTCCCACTCTAATCAGCTAATTAAACCATAACACCTGCAAAGGGTTCCTGAGCCTTTAAATGGTCTCTCAGTCTGGTTCAGTAGGAATCACAATCATGGGAAAGACTGCTGACCTGACAGTTGTGCAGAAAACCATCATTGACACCCTCCATAAGGAGGGAAAGCCTCAAAAGGTAATTGCAAAAGAAGTTGGATGTTCCCAAAGTTCTGCATCAAAGCACATTAATAGAAAATTATGTGGAAGGGAAAAGTGTGGAAGAAAAAGGTGCAAAAGCAGCAGGGATGACCGCAGCCTGGAGAGGATTGTCAGGAAACGGCCATTCAAAAGTGTTGGGGACTTTCACAAGGAGTGGACTGAGGCTGGAGTCAGTGCATCGAGAGCCACAACACACAGACTGATCCTGGACATGGACTTCAAATGTCGTATTCCTCTTGTCAAGCCGCTCCTGAACAACAAACAACGTCAGAAGCGTCTTACCTGGGCTAAAGAAAAACAGACCTGGTTTGCTGTTTCTCAGTGGTCCAAAGTCCTCTTTTCTGATGAGAGCAACTTTTGCATCTCATTTGGAAACCAAGGACCCAGAGTATGGAGCAAGAATGGAGAGGCACACACTGCAAGATGCTTGAAGTCCAGTGTGAAGTTTCCACAGTCTGTGTTGATTTGGGGAGCCATGTCATCTGCTGGTGTTGGTCCACTGTGCTTCATTAAGTCCAGGGTTAACGCAGCCGTCTACCAGGAGATTTTGGAGCACTTAATGTTTCCTTCCGCAGACGAGCTTTATGGGGATACTGGCTTCATTTTCCAGCAGGACTTGGCACCTGCCCACACTGCCAAAAGCAGCAAAACCTGGTTCAATGACCGTGGGATTGCTGTGCTTGATTGGCCAGCAAACTCGCCTGACCTGAACCCCATAGAGAATCTATGGGGCATTGCCAAGAGAAAGATGAGAGACATGAGACCGAACAATGCAGAAGAGCTGAAGGCCGCTATTGAAGCATCCTGGTCTTCCATAACACCTTAGCAGTGCCACAGGCTGATAGCTTCCATGCCACGCTGCATTGAGGCAGTAATTGCTGAAAAAGGGGCCCAAACCAAGTACTGAGTACATATGCATGCTTATACTTTTCAGAGGTCCGATATTGTTCTATGTAAAATCCTTGTTTTATTGATTGCATGTAATATTCTAATTTTCTGAGATTGTGGATTTGGGGTTTTCATGAGCTGTAAGCCATAATCATCACAATTATGACAAATCGCAGCTTGAACTATCTTGCTTTGCATGTAATGAGTCTATCTCATATATTAGTTTCACCTTTTAAGTTGCATTACTGAAATAAATGAACTTTTGCACAATATTCTAATTTTTCAAGTTTCACCTGTAGATTCTTTTCCTTTTCTTTTTCTTTTTCCCCTTTTTATGACTAGGCCATTTTTTGCTTTTTGGTGCCTTGTTACTTTTTAATTGCTCTGTCATACAACTCTGTACACAAATGAAATTTATATCTGCAAATTTTATTCCTGTGACTAAAGTTTTCCATTTTCCACATGTGTATGTCAGCAACGATGGTGGATTTAAATCTCTGCCAGGTTTTTTTTTTTTTTTTTTTTGCTTCCTTCTGCTAATAATGTGCTAGGCACACACTTCTCAGTCTAATCAGTATGTAAGCACAGGTTTTGGCTCTACACTTTTTTTGTTAGCCGATTCAAAATTATTCATTGTCATGAAACATCTGGAGGATAGGTAGGTGGGCAGACTTTCTGTCAGGATTATAAAGACTTAGTTTTGTTCTTACAGAATATACAAAGGACTGTGTAGACAAATATTTTGCATAAAATTAGGATAGCCCCCCGGAATATTTATTACATGTTTAAAAATAAATTTACCTGCATAACTGTAAAACCTCACCAGCACAGTTGCTGCAGTCAATGACTTTGTATTACCGTGCAATACTATATAGTTTAAATGTAAATGTGCAGACCTTATACTATTTTATTTTTCATTGCAGGTCCCATGATACACCAGCAGCCTGCCTCACAGCAGTATAACATGCCTCAGGGTGGTGGACAGCATTACCAAGGGCAGCAGCCGCCTATGAGTATGATGGGTCAAGTTAACCAAGGAAACCACATGATGGGTCAAAGGCAAATTCCTCCATACAGACCTCCACAGCAAGGTACTGTTAACAATATTAATATATGACTGATGCTAATACAGCATCATGCAGTTAAAATCAGCATTTTATTTTTGCTAGAAAATTACTTTGAACCCCCCCAAACATATATATTTTCTGAAAGCAGAAGCCCTGGAGAATGAAATGGTGGCTGGTGCAATTTTGGTATATTGCACAATGTTTGTGCAGCCTCTTCTCAAACACAACTTTCACAGTTTTACACTTAAGTTAATTTTAGTGCACATAAACACAATATAATACCCAATACACTTGTGTGTTAGCATTTGGGGGGAGTTAATTTTTATTTATTTTATTTAATTTTTTTGCATCCCCTTGTGATAGCTTTTGGCAGTGATAAGTACTCTTATGGAAGAATCTGGGGTCTGTCTCCATAGACCCCAGATGTCCTCCAAAGCAACTGATCAAACACAGATTATCGGCTCTAAAAGAAAAAAAAAAGGGGGAGTTGCTTTCCTGGTACAACCACTTGCTGTCCATGACAACGTTTATCTACTGTATGTACACTGGGCAGCAAAGTGGTTAAAAGCCGCTTTCTATCATGGTAAGCTAAGGAGATTTATTTAAGGCATTGCTTTAAAGCTGTATTCTAGAGAGTTAAAAAAAAAAAAAAAAAAAAACTTTAAAGTTGTTCTAAAGGTTCAAGGTTTTTTACCTTCATGTATTCTTTGCATTAAGGTAAAAAACCTTCTGTGTGCAGCCCCCCCCCAATTCTCACCTAAGCCCCCTCGATCCAGCAATGTGCATTGGAGTCTTGTGTATCCCGGGACTCCCTGTTCTCATTGGCTGAGACAGAAGCGGGAGCCATCGGCTCCCACTGCTGTCAATCACAGCCAGTGAGCCAATGAGAAGAGAGAGGGGTAGGGCCAAGCCATGGCTCCATGTGTGAATGGACACATGGAGCAGAGGGTGCCCCAATAGCAAGCTGATTGCTGTTGGGGCACCCGACAGGAGGTAGGGGCCAGGAGAGCCTGCGGGGAACCCGAGAAGAGAAGGATCCGGGCTGCTCTGTGCAAAACCACTGCACACAGCATGTAAGTATAGACATGTTTGTTTTTGTTAAAAAAAAAGACTTAGAATCACTTTTTATTTTAAAGAAGACTTTTTAAAGTGCAACTAAAGTTCCGCTTGTTACTCAGTGTGAGCAGGCAACCTCTACAGAAGAGACATGCAGTGTCACTTCTTCAGCAAAGAAATACACCTTCCGGCTTGTAACTGAGCTGCACATGCCTATCTCAGCTGGCAGTCTGGTCTGTGTTAAAACAAGGTGTAAAAAATGCAATAAACACTGCAATATGAAAAAAAGCACATGCTGTATTCAGTGAGCTGTCTGCTCCGAAGATAAATACCACGTGAGTTATTTTAAGTCAAAAATATTCATGCGGTATCTTAGTGAAGTGACCTCACAATGTCACTTATGTAAGCACTATTATACAATAGACATACTTTGTCTTCTTTGTCAGTTTTGACAACAGTGGAGCTGAAAAAAACAATCGTTAGACTTACCGGTAATGACATTTCTAGGAATCTTCCAGGACGACAGGCCTGAGAAATGAGGTGTTTCTCCCCTACAGGAAACGCAATCAATTTACAGCTGTTGCCCTCCAGTTTGTAATAAAGTAACTACCAAAACCGGTCCACAAAGGGAATCATTTATACATAGGCACTCACCGATTACTACTTTCAGCAGTTTCCTCCCCTCCCTTACTAGGTTGGGGAGAGGTAGGCCTGCCGTCCTGGAAGATTCATAGAAATGCTGTTACTGGTAAGTCTTACGGTTGGTTTCTCCTATGACCTTCCAGGATGGCACACCTGAGAAGATAATCCAGTAACTGCAGGCCTACCTTAGGGTGGGACCACAGCATGAAGCAACTTCCAGCCAAAGTCTTGTTGCGACAGCACATTAATCCGGTAATGTTTCAAGAACGTGTCTTGACTGGACCAAGGTGGCTGCACTGAAAATCTGTTCCCAGGAGGCCCCTGTTTTTTCTGCCCAGGATGTGGCCATAGCCCTGGTTGAATGAGCTTTTACCTTTGCTGGTGCAGGGATCCCCGAACATTCATAAACTAAAGCAATAGCTTGTCTGATCTACCTGTAGACCGAAGCCTTAGAGGCTTAAAGTCCCTTCCTTGGACCAACATAAGAAATTAATAGATTGCCGGACCTCCTAAAATCATTGGCCCTATGCAAATAAGTGAGGAGACATCTCTGCACGTCAAGACAGTGGAATTTCTCTTCTTTTGTGTTCCTGGGATTATCACAGAAGGAACGCAAAGTTTTTTTTTTTTTTTTTGTTTGTTTTTTTTTCTGTGTTATATTAGATAAGGAAGCTACCTTTTGGCTGGTACATTGGGTCTGGCCAAAGGATGATCCTGGCAGGATCAACAAAAAGGGTTCTTTGACCGACAAATTTTTGTAGGTCTTCAACTCTTCTAGCTGTGGTTGAAAGCCAACAGAAAAGATAATTTTTAACATCAAAAACTTAAAGGGAATCTCCTCTATTGGTTCAAAAGGGTGTTTTGATAAGGTTTCTAGCACTTTGGTCAGATCCCACTGTGGAAACCTATCTTTTGTGGATGGGGTAATTCTCTCCCTGGCCACCAAGAACCGCTTAACCAAAGGTTCTCTAGCTAATCTAGCGTCAAGAAAAACTGGAAAGTGCAGCCATTTGTACTCGAAGGGTGCTAACTGCCACCCCTCTTTCAACACCATCCTGGAGAAATTCCCGGATCATTGGAACAGAGTTGGAGGATACCTGTTTCCGTTTTGCACCAAGAACAAAAGATTTTCCATACTTTTGAGTACATTTTCCTAGTTACAGGCTTTCTGCTTAGGAGAAGGGTGTCTGTGTCTCTGTCCGAACAACCCTTACTCTTTTTAGGATCTGGTGCTCACTAGCCAGGATGCCAATTGGAAGAATTTCAGCTTGGGTGAAGCACTGGGCTCTGAGGAAGATCTGGCAGAATCAGAAGCCTCCGAGGACTTTTAGGGTCGCGAACCACACCGTCCTTGGCCACCGGTGGGGGGTAAGGCATATGCCAGCCTGAACCTCCAGATCTGCGACAAGCATCTAGGCCCTCTGGCTCTCTCTCTTGGGATATTGAGAAGAACCTCCTTACCTTTCTGTTCCTGCCGTCGGCAGGAAGGTCTGAAAGACCTTCGAGTTCAGCTCCCAATCCCCCTGTCTGATCGGCTGTTGACTGAGAGAGTCTGCTTCCTGGTTGCTTGTCCCTCTTATATGAACTGCCACCAGAGAAATAACTTTCCCTTCAGCCCTAACCCAGGATCTCTTTGGATAGGTCCAGAAGATGTCTGGATCTGGTTCCACCCTGACGGTTCAGGTAGGCCACTGTGCTGGCATTGCCGGAGCTGACCTGAACCTCCCTGGCCAGCATACTGTTCTCGAAAGCCTTCAGGGCTTCACCTACCGCTCTGAGCTCTCTGGAGTTGGACGAAGACTTGGAAATTGCCCTGTTCCAAGGACCTTGGGCTTTGGCTTCCCCCAGGTGTGCACCCCACCCCCAGGAGCTTGCATCTGTGACCACTTTTAGTTGGTCCCACTGGGCCCTGGGCCTGCCTCCCTGCAGATTGCTGGGGGTTACCCACCATTCTAGTGAGGATTTTACCTATGAAGTGAGGACCAGCTTTTTGTCCAGGGATTCTTTCTTCATGTCCCAGCAGGACAGAAGAAGAATTGCAGGTCTCTTGAGTGGAATTGTACCCACACTGTGGCCAGGATGGTTGCCGACATCAGACCCAGCGCCCTCAAGACCTCCCTTGGGGAGCTTGAAGGAGGCTCTATCAGACCCTCTTACTGGCAGGACTATCTTCTTCACCTTGTCCCTTGGTAGAAAGAGTTTTTGAGTTCGTGTCCACCATGTAGCCTAAAAAGGTTTTGACCTGCTCCAGAGATGATTTCCCTATGCTTACGATCCAGCCCAGAGACTCCAGGGTGGTGATCGCCCTCTCCATGTCTTCGTTCACCTGTATAGCAGAGGTACCAAAAATTAGAAGATCGTCTAAATAGGGGATCAGGGATATCCCTTGAAGGTGCAGGAGTGCCAGTGCTTTGGCTAGGAATTTTGTAAAAACCCTTGGACTGGCCACTAGTCCAAAAGGAAGAGCCCTGAACTGCCAGTGGGCTGCTTCTTCCTAAATTACGATCATAGACCTTAAGTATACCTGATGTTCCAGATGAATTGGGACATGTAAATAGGCATCCTTGAGGTTCAGCGTTGTCATAAAGGCCTTTTTTCGGAGATTTTTGTATACTGAGTAAATACTCTCCATGGAAAATCTTTTGTACTCCCCAAATTTTTTTCAGGTTTCTGAGGTTTATAATTAGGCTGTATTTTCCTGAAGGTTTGTCAACAACAAATATGTAGCTTTTCTCTTCAAGGCATCCTGAGGAAGGCATGTTAGAGTGATCATTTGTGGGGGCCTTGATGAGAATGTCAGGCGATAGCCCTCTGGTACCAGTTGGCAGATGTAGGCACTGTCTGAGATTTTCTACCACTGGGAGGCAAAGTGTGACAGGCGGCCCCCTACCCTGATCCTGGTGCCTGGGGAGGAAAGCAGCAAATTGCTCCTTTTGCCTTCCCCTCCCATTGCCCTATTTCTTATTCGGTTCCTTTTTGGCCCTCTTCTGGTTCTGACCTGAGGGGCCACGAAAAAAATGTATTTTTACCTTTTGGGTTTAACTGGGAATTTCTTCCCCTTCTTGGGGGGGGGGGGGAACCTGGACAACACATTGTTTCCAACCCTGGGCCGAACAGCAGGGAGCCTTCAAGGGGAGACCACATAGTTTACCTTTTGAAATTAAGTCACCTTCCCATTCTATAACCCAGATAGCCTTTCTGCTGAATTAATGAGTGCGGCTGTTTTGGCTGAGGCTTTAACGGCTTCAACCGCAGCATCCACCGGGATCCTTCCCTATCACTGAGAGGGAATCTAGCACTTCTTCTGACATAGCCCCCTGCGACAGGTGTTTGGTTAGTCTTTCCATCCAAAAGTCTGTATTTCTGACAATGCAGGTTGCTGCCAGAGCTGGAGCCATGCATCTTTAGGAAGGATTCAGACCTTCAGTCCAACAAATCCTTAATGCTCCCCGAATCCTCGAAGGAGAGATCAAACGTCTTTTTGTAACTTGCGACATCGCAGCATCCAACCTGGGAAGCTTAAGGAATCTATCTTCCACCTCCTCTCTATAGGGGAACCTTCTTTTCCAAGTCTTATGTCTGACCATTCTCCTTCCAGGATCCTTCCATTCCTGTAGGATTAAATCCTTTTAAGGATTGGTGGAAGGGAGCACCCTAGCGTGGGCTTTAACTAGGCCCCTATACATTTTGTCCTGCGCTGAGGTCTCTGGGGGTTTCTGGGATTTCTTTGGCGCTGTAAACTGCCTGAAGGAGCCCCTCCAGGTCTTCCAGGAGAAAAAGGTGGCTGCCAGACTTCACCTCCTCACCTTCCTTACTGCTGAGATCTAGGTCCACCTCCTCCCCTGAGCTGTGGTCTGCTTTTAGGCTATCAAGCTCTCCCTTACTCTCCTCCTCATTCCTGGCTTGGGCTGGAGGAAGCATCTGGGAAGGCAGGAGGAATAAAATGGGTCCCTCTCTGGAATTGAGGCTTGTGAGGATGGGCTTTCCTTAGGGGTTGGCTCCTCTGGGCCCTACGGCTGTGCCACCGAGGTTCAAAAGGGCTGGATGGTGGCTACCATCTCCGCTTGCATAGATGCTAGGAAATCTTTCATCAAGCCTCTTTCCTTGCCAGCTTGTTAATGCATCTATAGCAAGATGGTTTAGGATGGGACCTAGCTAGCTTCTCCCAACAATATCAACATTTCCTAGAGGAGCTAGAGCCTGTGGGTACAGAAGGCGGTCTATCAGGGGCCTGCTGGATTCTGCTCAGGGATTCTGAAAGAGAAGAGGAACAGCAGTTGCTAGTCTCTCTCTCTTCCTACCCCCTATGGCTGCTGGGTTTTAACATATAATTAATATGGGGGGAGGGGGGGGGGGTAAACTGGGCTATCCACCTGGTCTGGTCTGACCAGGCTGAACCAACATGGTGGTCCATCTGTGCCCCCTCTGTCCTGCTAGCACTCCCCCTTAGGAAAGGCAGTCACTGAGTCCCGACTTGGACTTGCCCGCAGTCACTGGTGCTGCCATCACTTCCTCCTTCTCCATGAGGTGGTTCTGCCCAGTCTCAGCTGGAACAAGCCTGCAAGTTAGTTCAGCCATCCCTGGCCTCCCTATGCCTGCCTCACAGGGATACCATCCAACTCTCCCCAGTCTTCTGGTCACAGAAAACACCAAATGTTCCGATGTAGGCAGAAAAACAATCAATACTGGAGGGGACTTATAACAGCTGTAAATTGATTGTGTTTCCTGTAGGGAGGAGCCCCTCATCTTTCAGGCATGCCAGTCTGGCAGGTGATAGGAGAAAGGTCAATTACCTAATAAAAACACGTTTGCCTAATGTCTGGATAGAAACATAAGCAAGCTTAGTTTCTAGTGGCATTTAAATCATTTTATTGAAAATTGTCATGTATTTTTAGGTCCACCTCAGCAGTACTCAGGCCAAGAAGACTATTATGGTGACCAGTATAGTCATGGTGGGCAAGGACCTTCCGAAGGCATGAATCAGCAATACTATCCAGATGGTAATGATGTATCTTATATTCACATTTTACATAAAAGTAAATTGTTCAGTAGCTCTCAAAACATACACAGACATGAAATGCCCTTCTCAGTCTATATAACATTTGTTCAGGAAATATATATATATAATATGTATGTATATTTTTTCAAACATAATGTTGCAATTGTGTGTTTTGTAGTTTTACATGCTAATATAGCAAATTTTGCTGATTTGGAGTCCTTAAAGAGTACAACGCTGCTGCTCAGGGTCCCAATCTCTGAAAAATCTTAATGTCACACAGATTGCTAGCAGCATACTGCTTAAGATTTCCTGTGCGTCTGTCTCGTGCACATGGTTTTCTTGGTCCCTTCCTTTGCCGTTAGGTGCACACACAGCACGTGTAAAGCCAAAATGTTCTTTTTGTTAAATTTAAATAGAGTATAGGAAGGTTAGAATGCCTGTCCGTTTGTTTTGCTGACCGTTTCCCTTTGGGAAGATTTCCCTTCACTTGTCCCAGAGAAGTAATGAGAAGTAAGAAAAATGTTACCAACATCTAGACATCAGCAGAACAGATGTCCCTGTTGAAACTTTTCACCTCACCTGTTATGGTGAAAGTTGTAAAAATTTGCAATCTCGTCACTTTCTGCGTTGGTAATAACAGTAACCAGGGCAAATATAGTGTATGAATCCATCGGGGGGAAGGCAGCAATAAAAACTTCACGAAGATTCAAATCCTTCCCAACTTCCTCTAAAACACAAAAAATAAGTTTTTTGGCTGCACATACACTTTAAAGTGTAACTATAATCTGCATTAATGGTGCAGGATGACATCACTCCTGTGCATGCACAAGAGTTCAGTCCTTCGGGAACTTGACTACTGTGCCGGAATGTAAACTGAGCTGGGCATGCACAGCTCCATGTACATTCTACAGGAGATGCAGGGAGGTACAGTATGTGTTTTATTGCATTGCATGTCTCTTCTGCAATAAAGAGCTTGCCTGCTCAGTTTCTAATTTTAGGCTTAGTTCCTAGTCTGTGTCTGTGTCTGTAAGACAGGAACTTTGAATTAGACAAAAGATTTATACACTTTGTTATAGTTTTTTAGTAAATATATGTGGTCCTGTTCTATATATGTATTTTTAGAAAAGCTAAGATCGGTCTTAAACTGATTCCTATTTGTTTGTTTGTAATGCTTTGATTACATTTATAGTAATCATGACGTTCAGCTTGAAATATGTCCATAATATTCTGTTTTGAATAATCTGCTGTGTATTATGCCAACTATGGAATTCTCAGTCATTTAGAATGTTTTATATTAAGATGAATACTAAATAAGATTTGGGTAGACTTGTATTTACTATATTACTTAAACATTTTACACCTTTTTGGAAATTAAAATTATTTAAAATTTTGCAAATGGGTATTTAGACTAGATAGAATCGAGATCTCGCAATCCATAAAGGCCACATTTTGTGACTTTTTCCAACAACAAACTTTTACTAGTTTCCAGGAACCAACTGTTTCAAAATCAGAATGGGGCAAAAATCTGTGCTACTTGCACAGGTATTTTTAGTCATTTATCCCACTGAGACCAGAAAATGTTTGTGTTCAAACCTGACTTGAGAGCAAATACAAAATATCAAACAAATGATCAGCATAAACATATCTGCCTTTATCTTGTTTGGAGTTTCCTTTTTCTCTATGCATTAGAATTAATAGGGCATGAACTGATATAGGAGACAGCTAGAAGGGAAAACATTTTATATTGTGGATAACATTTGAAACTAGTTTTTATGGGTTACCATTGGCTAATGCTGGACAGATTCCATAAGCAAAGTTTAAAGTATATCTGATGCCAAAGCTTCTTTTTTTTTCATCTTAGATAGTGTAGGGGAGGGTTAAAACCTCTTCTCTCTCCTCCTCCTCCCCTACCCCAAACAGATGAACAGAGCACAGAAACCTGTATTTGAGGACTTTTTCTTTTAAAGAACAATTGCAGCTGGTGCCTCAGCCTTATTCTTTTGAGTGGGTTCTCTAGAGAATATGATTCTCCAAATCTCTAGAATGATGCTTATTTCTGTGTAAATGCATAGGATTTTGTGGCTAAAATGTTGAACGTATTGGAATGGCGAACCATCAGACTAGCTCTGCAACACTGGACCCCCACTTCTGCAAGGCCACCCAGTCAGGGTTCAGTCAGACAGTGCCATGTCTGTGGCCTACAATATACCATGGGAGTGCACCAGAAGTCAGGTTGCCCTGAGAGAATCAGAATTGCTCGTCTCCTGGGCATAAATTCACATCCTGGTTCTTGCTGCCATACACATACCTGGTGTGGACAACTGGCAAGTGGACTGCCTAATGCGACAAAGCATGAACCCAGGGCAATGGTCTCTGAACCCTGAAATTCCCAGAATCTCTATGAATGATGGGAGGTCTCCAGATTCAGCAACAAACTGAACAGGTTTGTAACCAGTAACAAGGATCTGCTATCCTTTGCTGTAGATGCCCTGGTGATTTCTTGGACTCCATTCAGGCTGACATATGCCTTTAATAAAGATTGTTGATTTGGCAAACGCAAAGATAGAGGTAAAAAGGGTTTCAGTGATTCTCATAGTACAGAATTGGCCCAGAAGGATGTTACACATATGGCTGGCAATATGTCCCCCCCCCCCCCCCCCCATTCCATCTGCTTCTCAGTAGCTGGCATTAACAACATGGCTGTTGAAAACCAGATCTTGAAAGATGAGGGGGTATATCTGATTTGGATACACCCACCGTGCTAGAAGCAAGAAAATCTACCTTCTGCAAGATCCAGTATCACACATGGTAGGCCACCTTTGCCTGGTGCGAAGCAAGGTGTCTGAGTCCCAGATAATACTTTGCTCATATCCTGTCCATTCTTCAGTTTGGTGTCCATCAGCACCAGTTTGCTTTAAGCGAACTTGAGCACCTTTTTAAGAGACTGTTTTCTCCCCTGTCCATCCTTTTTCAATCAGTACGTTTTTGTGTGGTGTTGCTCATGAGTCTATTTAGAAATGTCTTTGGAAGATCTCATATGTCAGGCAACCTTCTTGATGGCCATGACATCCATTTAGGCTTATTTCTGCATTAGCAGCCTTTTCTCGTAAGGAGCCTTTTCTTATATTGCACAGGGACAAGGTGGTCTACCCAAAGTGGTCTATCTTTCATCTCCGTGAGGATATTGTCCTTCCTTCCCTGTGTCCTGCCCCATAACACACCATGGAATAACCTGCCTGGATGTTGTGGCTTTCAGTCTACCTGGGAGACAGTGGTTCTATTCGATAGACTTGAGTCCCTTTTTGTCCTTCTTTCAGGTCTTTGAAAGGCTCACCGTGCCTCACCATTGCCAAGTGGATAAGTTAACTTGTTTCTAGTGTTCACACCCATAGCGAAAGGGTATCCCTTTTCCCTATCAGAGCTCATTCTGTTAGATCTATCTGTGTCTTAGACTTTCCAGCATCAAGCATCTGGATGTTCAAGCCTGGCTGATGCATGCTATGGCTGCAAGGTACTTTAAGCTGTCGTCTACCTTTTTTTTTTTTTTTTTTTTTTTTTTTGTTTTTTTTTCTCTGGTTGTTGCCCTTGTTTTCTTGTGGGCCTCAGTTCATTGCTTGGAGATGTCCAATGATTTATCAATAAATTCTACAGTTTAAGTAAATGGAATTTAAACTTGCCTTTAAATTCCTTATAATGGAGTACAGAAGAAAACACAGGGCCCTCCCCTCTGTCACCTATGGTCACTCCTTATTCTTGTTAAAAAGTCTGAATGGGTAGGGTTATATGAGCGTTCCCTCTGCTTTTTTTTTTTTTTTTCCAATATGAGCAATTTACAGGTAAGCCATATTTGCCTTTTTTTTCTAGCTATGGAGATTTTACGTCACTTCCTGTCCTGTAGACTCAACAGGGAGAGAAAAGATAGCTTTTCAGTGTGAGGTAAAATTTCCTCTTCTTTGTCACATAAACAAGTATATAAAGTATATTGGACGTTTTTCCCTCAATTCATGTTCTGATGGCAACTCAATTTTTTGGAACTACCCCCTAATTTGCAGTGATACTGGCAAGGAAAAAAGTTAGTTCTAACCCTTTACCACTCTATCCAAATCTAAAAAATAAAATGCCTATAGATATACTTTGACCTGGTTCACACCTATGTTTTTCAGTGTAATTCAAGTTCTGCAGAAACTCCCTACAGTTCATCTAACATGCTTTCCTAATGTTCACGTTTTTTTAAAAGGGTCAGGGACTTTTTTCCCCACAGCAGGTTGCATTTTTTTGTTCCATAGACGTCATTGGAAACGCTTGTGTTTTTGATGCGTTTCTGCTGTGTTTTTGCTGGTTTCTCCCACATGTCAACAGACCCCTTGAAAAAAACACAAAGTGCACTGGGAAAGTGCATCAATCTCAACCTGCGTAGGAGTGAAACAGGCCAGGAAGTTGAATTCTGGATTAGATTTCCTCCATACTGCAAGGGTTAAATGCTTGTTTAGGTCTGGGGGACCAGAAAAAGCAGTTTTATTTGCTAGACCAGTCCTCCCAGCCACCTCCTTCCTATGCCTCAACAGTCACAGGCCCATGCATTTGACATGAGGATGCCCAGGAACAGTCTGCTGTCAAAGCATATGAATGAAGAGGAGAGTGCCAGCTGCAAGGGGAGCAGAGGATCAAGTAAGTTAACTGCTTTTTCTAGTCCCCTAGACCTGAACAAGTCATTTTAACCCTTATTGTGAGGAGGCAGCCCCACTACAAGGGATAATTGTCATTTTTCCCCACTGTAAACACTACTGGCCCCTACAATGAGCCATAATCTACCTGCATTGCATAGGGAAGCACAAAGATGAAATCACTGGGTCCAAAACAAGGATCTGTTTTAATAAGGAAATTGAAAACTGGTGAGCGTGCAAGCATGAGGTAAAATGAGCGTCCAAAAGAGAACACCCTAAGTCTGGTGAATTGCTATGAGGTAGATGTTGGCTCTATTACCCACTTAAATGGGAAACG